CCTCTGTATGTCTTCCTATCTTGTTCTCTCTCACCCACCAACCCACCCACCCACCCAAACCCACACATTAATTAATTAGTTAATTAGTTAAAGATTTAATTTGTAACTGGATCTATCTCAAAGGCTGTGTCATGTTCTTGGGACAGACTTTGCACTTAGTTTATACAGTTAACATGGAGGACTGTAGGGTCCAGGTACTCCTCCCAGGGACCACACATCACTATCAGCATCCCTCAAAACTGACTCTAGGAGCAATGTCTATATCTTCTTATGACCTCAAAGCACCCATGTGGGAGGGACTTGGACTTTTGCCGGTCACTGCACTTGACTTGGTTGGGGTGTTGAGCTATCCCTTTCTCTGTCTCTGTGACAGCACTGATTCAGGCTCTGTCACCATCTTCAGTAGATCTACAGGTTGGGACTGTGTGTGAGGGTGCACATATTCTACTTCTGTGCTACACACACAGGCCCCGTGTGCTGACTGGACACTGTCAGAGCACAGCTACAGGACTATAAAGAGAGAAGTCATTGAGTCCTCCTCTTGCTCAGGATGAAACTCCTTCTGCTGGTTTCTCTGCTCACAGGTAGGACCCTTGTCCCCTCCGAGTGCCCCCATCTCCCTTGTCTTCAATGCCTAGCCTCACTTGTCATGCCTCAAGTTCTGGTTTGGGGTTCCTGTTGGGGACTAGCAGCCTGTGGGTTGGAGTTCCATCCTCACCCCCTATCCACAACAGCTGGCACCTTCACGTCTGAACTCAAACAATCCCTTGGGAAAGTCCACTACATTCACCTACCCAAGCAAAGAAAGCCCCTTCTGCCTCTGACATAAGTCATGGGACCCATTTCCCGGGAACTTAGGTGTCCTGCAAATTGGATTTTCTTGTACTTTAAAAAAATATTTAATTTTATTTTATGTGTTTGAGTGTTTTACCTGCACATGTGTATCTGTGAACTGTGTGTGAGCAATGTCTACAGAGGCAAGAGGAGGGGTCTGATCCTCTGAACTAGGGTCATAGACAGTTGGGACACCCATGTGGGTGCTGGAACTGAGCCTGGGTCCTATGCAAGCTCAGCAAGTGCTCCTGAGTGCAGAGCCACCTCTCCAGCCCTGATGATTGTTTTATTTCCCTGATCTTATGATGTGGCTCAGGATGTCTTCCAACTCAACATTATGTCCAGACTTGAAAGCTTTCTGCCTCACCTTGCAAGTGTTAGGATTGCATACATGCCATACTTGCTTCTGCAACATTTTTTTCATGTTTTTCTAAACATGGTAACCATGGCTGTCCTGGAACACACTCTATAGACCAGGCTGGCTTTGATTCAGTTATCCACCTGCCTGTAGTTCCAGAGTGCTGGGATTACACACTGTGTATTCTGCTCTACCTGGATTCTCCTACATTTTAATGCTTGCTGCGGGCCGCAGGAATCTATCATAAGTACTCAGCTGGTTATGGCAAAGTCACTACCTGGAGGGATCATGGAATTCCTCTAGAGGAAGCCAAATCCCAAGGATTTTTTGTTGTTACTTGGCTTGTTATATATCAGCTGTCTTCTGTTATGAAAATCATATGTGCCTTCATAGTTTTCCCAATTGACTTTCCCCTAAGAAGGACTAACAGTGTAGACTGAGCACTCCCTGGACATACACATTCCAGGTATTTGGAGAACAGCCTCAGGAAAGGCTTTCTCTGGAATCAGATTATCTCCCTTAGCCACTTTCAAGGACTACAGGAAACACCACCCAGGTGGGTGCCCAACTTCCGAGGACTAACAATGACAACAGCCCACCTGCAAGTCTCCTGACTTAAATTCCACAAGGAGACACCGCCCAGGGGGGCACCCAACTTCCGAGGACTAACAATGACAACAGCCCACCTGCAAGTCTCCTGACTTAAATTCCACAAGGAGACACCGCCCAGGGGGGCACCCAACTTCCGAGGACTAACAATGATAACAGCCCACATGCAAGTCTCCTGACTTATGTTAAATTCCACAAGGGGATACCGATTAGCAGATGTGGATGTTAAGTAATAGTTTTACACAATTTAGCTCGGACCCTCCCTTTATATACTGGGACTTCCAGGGCATAGGGAGGAGAAGAGAAAAGAGAATGGAAGAACTAGATGGGTAAGAACTTGAAAGGAACGAACTGAGATGGGGAAGAACTAGATTGAAGGACTGAAAGAGAGGACTAGAGGAACGAGATGGAAGATGAGGAAGAGCCAGATGGGGAAGAACAAGATGAGGAAGAGCCAGATGAGAGAGAAAGAGATGAGAGAGGAGCTGATAGGAGAAAGAACTAGATAGATGAGAACCTAGAAAGGACAGAACTAGATGAAGGAATTAAGATAGAACCTAGAGGGGACAGTAGATAAATATAGAGAGAAATCAGGCAAGAAAGGAGCTAGACATGAGAACAGAACTGAAGCTGTGTATAAAGGATGTTATGCCAGAGGAATTAAAGCAAGTGGACTATAGAGCTCAGTGTGCTGAGGTTATATTTCCTGAAAATAGTCCTTGCCATTAGTAGTTCTCTCTCCTGAGCCCCTGGGATGTATAATATTAATGTTGGTCCCTTTAATATTATACAAGAAATGATGACCAAGTATCCCACTGCAGACTGAATCCTGGCTTTTTTACCTACTCCTCAGCTGATGAACAGTTTGTTGTGTCAAATGCTGACATTACAATGATGATCTGACCATTATCCTTGTCTATGAGCTGTGCATGGCCACACAACAGATTCCTTCTAATTCTTCCAGTATAAAACAATCAGCATGTGTTGGATGCTTCTCTGGCTCAAGGTCTCAGCTAGAACTGTGATGAATCCCACTGCTGGCTAAGGCTAGGATTTCACCTAGGCTTGAGTAGGGGTGGGGCAGCTTTCAATCTCAAGAGGTGGTAGGATTGTTGGGTTATTGAACTAAGAGGTCAGTTTGTCCCTGGCTGCTGACTGGAGAGTGTTCTCAGTTCCTCAACACAGAGACCACAGGGCAGGTCACAGTGTGGTGGCTGTCTGTTCTGATGGTGAGAAATGAGAAAGAAGAAAGGCAAAAGGCAATGTCTATAGACCTTAGTCCTGGGGAGTCAGCCCTGCCGGTACAGTGGAGTACATTTATAATCCTAACACTGGGGAGGCTGAGGCCAGAGTGTTGCCACAGACGTTGGAGGCCACACTGGGTTACCAGGCAACTGTCTGTCTCAAACAAGTAGACAACTTCCTCTTAGGCCTGGTGAAATGAGTTTGATCTCTAAGACCTATGTAGTGGAGGGAGAAAACCCAACTCCCTAAAGCTGTGCTCTGACTTCCTAATGTGTAGCATGACATTTATGAGTGCTCCCAAGTGCTTGCTTTCACCTGTGTTGGAGCACGCACACACACACACACACACACACACACACACACACACACACACACACACCTGTATTCCCTGTTCTCTCGATGTAGCAGCTGTTAATAGTCCAGGAGGAAGCTAGCAGGCAGGCATCAGACCCCTGGTAAAGCCAGGTGAGATTGATGGAGTTGCTGTGCTTTCTTGTATCAGGTGCTACTGCACAGAGCATCAGCCCTCAGGCTGTGTGGCAGTTCGGCAATGTGTTCCATTGCAACCTTCTCAGGACTGGTACAGTCTCAGAGTACAGATTCTATGGCTGCTACTGTGGCGTGTATGGACTTGGCGATTCAGATGAAGACTTAGACAGGTGAGTGATCCACTTGGTGGGACACTGGAGTGTCTGCTGTGGTGTGGGGACAGGACATAAGCAGAGCATCTCATGAGGCATGAATAGGAGACATGCATATTCTGCAAACATCATATATGTGGTGCTGTTTATTATTATTTATTTTTCTTTCTTTGTTTTTTGTTTCCATAAAGAGGTTCTCTGTGTAGCCCTAGTTGTCCTTGAACTCTCTCTAGAGGCTATGCTGACCTTGAACTCAGAGATCTTACAGCTTCTGCCTCCTGAGTGCTGAGATTAAAGGTGGGCATCATCACCCACAGCATGTATTTCTCCTTCTGTCATGCAAAGAAATCAGTCCAAGAGGACACTGTATCTAGTGGTCCCTGAAAGCAGAATGTGTGAGGTGTTAGTAATGCTGCCCTTAGTCGCCAGACTAGGGCATGGCCAACCATCCCAGCTCCCATCAAAGTGTCAGCCTTGGCTATAAAAGTCATCAAAAGTACAGAATGTATAATTTCATTGTACTCCTGCAGCTTTGTTCAAAAATCACAAATCAATTTTTTGGAGACAGGGTCTCACTTATATATCCTGGCTGATCTCAAACTCAGAGATCCATCTGCCTCTGGCCCCTAAGTACTGAGAAATGGTAGAACCATCACACTTCACAGAAGTTGCTTTCAATAAATATATGCGTAATGGAAATCACAGATTCTTGAGCCTCAGGACCATTTCTTCTGGAACATCATGTTAAGTCATCCTCACATATTTGAGAAAGACTGCAAGTGAGAACTGATCTCCTGGAGGTCCATACTCCATCATCAGCTGTTCATTCCTCTCTGCAGGTGCTGCAGGACTCGTGACATCTGCCTTGCTCAGGTCAAGAACCTGGAAAACTGTGCATTCCTCATAAGAAATGCTCACACCAGCTCCTACTCATACTCATGTTCTGGGAATGAGGTCACCTGCAGTGGTAGGTTTACCCTATGGGAACTTCTTTATTCTGCTTAGTCCTGGGCATCTTTGCAAGGGGCAGAAGTAACAAGGACAGTGACCACTTAGCAGTCATTTACTTGGTCCCATTGGACATCACAACAACCTTATCAGGTAGATACTAAAAAATGGATGAGGTCTGATGAGTTAATCTGATTGATGTTTTTCAATAAAAAAGAAGAGTCACACAATGGGGTAAGAACCACAAGACCAGTGAACAAGGAATAGCCGCCAGTTGCTTCCTACCTCTTCTGTTCCTCCTTCCAAAAGGCTGAGATCCTCTCTCAGCCATGCCTTGCCACTTCCTGTGTCTATTCTGTTTAGAGTCCTCCAAACTTCTCTGGTTAGCTAGTGGCTAGCTCTGCCCTCTGACTCCAAGCAAGTTTTATTTGTTAGAACACAATCAAAATATCACATGATATTTCCTTCTTTTTGTCTAAACAAAAAGGAAAGGTTTTTTTTAAACTAACATAGTAAAACCTTATACAGTAAGTACACTAACTATATACAAATATATACAGGCAAGAATTACATTAACAATGTCCAGTCCATTTTCTTTTGCCTATTTGAGAAAAAATACTCTGTTATCTATCTTTTCTTGGTAAGTCCAAAGTGTTATACCTAATTAATTTTCTACCCTAACTTGCATTACCAACCCAAAACTATCTTTTTATGTCTCTCAACCTTATGCACTTTACATCTTTTTTTGTGAGGTGAATTTGTTAACAAGGAAAACTATAACTATAACTATCCAGTCTTCCACTCCATCAGAGACCTGAGAAGAAAATATTACCTGAGTAAACAGGAAGTGTAGAGCAAACAGCTAAGAAATGACAGAAACAGTCCTCCAAGGTTCCTCTTGTAACCTTGGGACCTCCATCTTCAGTCTACAGGCCTAGAATATCTGACAGAGTTTTCTGTGAAACAGGACTTTTAAAGGGCTGTCCTACCTTGTCTTTGCAAAGTTTGGCAGTCACTATCTTTTGTGTCCTGCTTGCCCAATTTGGACAGCATACTGTCAGCAGTCGAGGCAAAGGCAGCTTTGGGCCTAGTGGCTAAACTTTGTCATGAAGAAAGTAAACTCCATATGGAGCTTCTTCGATGCCTATCATCTTCTCTGAAGTAGATTGGTCCTGCCAGGAGCAGACATGTCTCATTGTCTCTTAAAAATTTATGTTATTGAAACATTTTAAATTCCATATTCAGTATCTCTGAAGTGTTTGAAGACCACCTGTTTGTCCAAAATATATCTCTGTTTGAATTCAAAACATACTTAACATGACTGCAAGTTTGATTGCAATAGAGGGCTAACTACTAACCTGTATTTCTTTATTATCCTAAAGAGTTTGTAATAATGACTTTCAAGGACTAGATATTTACATTACATTGTTAAATGAACTGTATAGGTATAATACTTTGAACAAGAATAGAAAGCTATGTACAACATACAATAACAAAAATAACCTTAAATTTGCATCATTATAAAAAGTCCACATCAATGTCAAATATTTAAAGCTAGTAGTTGCTTTTTTGGTTTAAAAGTAGACTCAATAATCTACATTTTTATTATATCATTTCTATATCCCATTTTCTTTTCAGCACAAGATCACTGAATCTAATCTCCTTTGTTGAGCTTTTTTCCTGACCATTACCAATAACAACTTGTGACCAACCCCCTAAATGATGACAAATATCTATAACCACCTGTCCCATCTCTTGGGAATGTTGGTGTCATGTTCTTAAAATTGCTTCCTATTTTCTGGGGATAATGGCATCTTTAGGGAAGCCTAAAAAATTGGGATAATTGTCAAGTCCTGGGAGAGATAGATGTATCATTTGTTGTCCAGTCTCTGTAAAATGGGAAAATGCAGGGCTTGTCTCAAGTCCTGGCTAGAGTAGTCTATGAGGCTGGACCATCTCACTCACCACCTTGAAATTGTCCTGAGCAGTTTTTAGTCCAAAGCTGATTTTTGTGTGGTGTTTATCAGCTTAGTGGTGTTATCACAATCCAGGTGGAATTGTCATTGTGGATCCCATCCTCCTTTTGGATACTTCAAAGATCACTGTTAGGCATGGTTATGGTTCACTGAAGAAAACTTAAACATTTTGAATGTCATATGTAGCACATCTCAAAGAGGTTAATGGATCATAATTTCTTATGTACATCCAGAGTACAAAAATTTACTACCTAGCTACATGATAGAGACTCAAAGCTGAAATAATATACAGGAAACTTGTTGAAGCCTTTTTCTAGAATTAGTTAGGACTGTATATGACCATTAATATCATGACGGTTTAAATATATATATTAATTGTATAATATTTAAGATAATATTTATACCTTGAGAAAATATTTAAAATAAAACCAAAGAATTATGAGATTAGTGACAATTAGTTATTCCCTTAAGTTTGCTTCTGTCCAATATCAAGTGGCTCTTCTGACATGAGATTTTTGGATTTTCCTTTTAACAAGTATGCTTGGGTTTAGAGAAGGAGAGAGCCATGCTCCAACTCCAAAGCCAGCTTGAATTTTTAATTGAACAGGGACTACAAAAAGACTATTTGCATTATATACTATAGAGAACAGCAGAAACAAACATTTGTTAAGATTTATAAAATTTTTTTCCATTTGGAAATGTGATATACATAAGGGCCAATTCAGTCTTTTTCTTGGGACATTTCCTCTGTATGATTTACCCTTTTTCTTCAGATGCTTCATTTGTCCAGTGATCTTCAGAATCCTTAGCTGGATGTCTTCATTCTTCTGGAAAAACAAAGACAAAACCCTGCCCCAACCCTAACTTTGGGGAGTTTCCCTTTTGGCAAGTTATACTGGATCAAATGAAAAGCATTTGTTAGTCTTATAAGTTAGTTTAGATTGAATGGTCACACTGTTTGATGAGCTATTACCTCTTCTAATCAAGAGATCTCTCTTGTTCAAATATAATCTTTATCAATTTTGATGGTATCCCTAGTTTTTATTCTCCAATGGAAATAAAAGCAAAGCCTCTTCCTCTACATAACACATATCCTGGTTTCATTCTGAGGTTAACACTTTAAAGTATACAAAATGGTTTAATTCAGCAGTTTTTTCTACTATCCAATGTCTCTCCATAGCTGTCATTCCATTCTCATTAACATTTAGAAAATTTAAGTTAATAAGGCATTGTGCAATGTATTTCTGCAGGTCATTATTACTACTTTCTTTTTATCAAGCATATCTTTTAGAGTTCACTTAGATCGTTCTATAACTGCTTGCCATGTAGGATAGTGTGGCATACCTGTAATATGTTTTATGTTTTCATATGCAAAAAACTGTTTCATTTTACTAGAGTCATATGCTGGAACATTGTCAGTCTTAATTTGTACAGATATTCCCATGATGGCCATAACTTCTAACAAATGTGTGATTACAGAATCAGCTTTTTCAGAACTCAAAGCAGTTGCCCTTTGAAATCCTGAATATGTATCAATGGTATGGTATACATATTTTAACTGTCCAAAATGAAATACATCCATTTTCAATTTTCATTTCTTTGAGTACCCTTTTGGTTAGTTATTGCAGATAGTAGAGTTTGGTATTTAAAAAAATAGTAGGATATTTTGCTATAATGTCCATGACTTGTTGCCAAGTGATGGAAAAAACCTTTTTCAAACCCTTGCTATTAACATGGTGTTTTTAAAGAAATTCTGAGGCTTCTAGCTCATTTACTACCAATAGTTGATCAATTTCATCATTATCTTGTGCTAGGATTCCTGGTGGACCTATGGTATATGATATGTACTATATATAAGGGATGATTTCTATTTCTGGTTATTTCTTGTAACTGAATAAAAAACAATGTCATTTCTGAATCATCTGGAATAAACTTAGCAATTTCAATAATGTAAAACAATTCTTTCTGCATATTGAGAGTCAGTAACTATATTAAGAGAATCTGGAAACCTATTAATACCATGAGAACAGCATATAATTCCGAGTTTTGAACAGAATCATAGGGACTTTGAGCTGCTTTATTTAAATTTCTTGATGTATAACCTGCTTTTCCTCAATTTTTTGGGCCAATATAAAATGTAGGGGCTATAGAAATTAGTGTTCCCTGTACAGTGTGAAGAAAGACCCAGCTGGCTGTCTTTACAAACTGAATTATCTTACTTTTGGGATATTTATTGCTAATCTTTCCCAAAAAATTAGTGCATGCTCTTTGCCAATGTTCATTTTCTGTCCATAAAAAGGAAATTTCCACATTAATAAAAAGGTACTATAATTTCTGATGGGTCTATTCCTGCTAATTGACAAAGCCTCAATTTTCCTTTTAAAGTCAACTCCGAAACCTTTTCTATATAAGTCTTTAATGTTTTACTCTGTTTGTGTGCTAAAAATATCCATTCTAAGGTATTATATGTTCTCTGTATTAAACTTCCTATTGGAGAATGCAGAGAAGATTGAATAACCAGAGTATAATCAAGGTCTGGATCTAAATGATCCACATGTGCATCCTGTAACTTGTTTTCTGCCAAAGCCAATTCTCTCTCAGCCTCAGCTGACAATTTTCTTGGACTATTTACATCCTTGTCACCTTGTCAGGTTTGAAATAAATTACTTAGTTCTTGAGTTGTTAATCCAATTATGGCTGTAGCCAGGTAATGTCTCCCAGCAAATTTTGAAAGTCATTAAAGTCCACAATTGATCTCTCCTGATTTGTACCTTTTGGGGTTGAATTGTTTTGTAATCCTATTTTATATCCTAGGTAATTAATAGAGTCTCCTCTTTGTATTTTTTTGGGAGTAATCTGTAATCCCCAACAAGGCAAAATTTTCATTACTTCTTCAAACATTTTCTCTACGGTATTGTCATTTGAATCGGCTAGTAAGGCATCATCCATATAATGGTAAATTATAGATTGAGGAAACTGATTATGAATAATTTCCAATGCCTGTCATCCAAAATATTGGCACAGGGTAGGGCTGTTTAATATCCCTTTTGGGAGAACTTTCCACTGATATCTTTTAATGGGCTGAGAATTATTATAAGTAGTCAATGTGAAGGCAAAATTTTCTCTATTCTGTTCTTGTAAAGGTATAGTGAAGAAACAGTCTTTTAAGTCAATCAGTATAATAGACCATCATTGAGTTAACAGAGAAGGCAAAGGAATTCCAGGCTGTAGAGAGCCTATCTGCTGAATTACTTAATTTTTGGCTCTCAAATCTATTAGCATTCTCCATTTTCCAGATTTTTTTTTCTTAATGGCAAATATAAGAGATTCCAAGGGCTAGTTGATTCTTCAGTATGTTGAGTATGTATCTGCTCCTGTACCAGCTGTTCCAAGGCCTGCAATTTTTACAATGTCAAAGGCCATTGGTCCACCCAGATAGCTTTGTTTAGTATTTCAAAGGTAGGGATGTTGGTAACTTTGAAAGGTCAGCATTTTTTTTGTGCCCTGTTTATGAACAACCTGAATGGTCAGTGACTGTTCTTCATAATGCTTTTTAATATTTGTCTCAGAAACATTTGTTAGTTTATGATTTGTTTCCGTGATTGGAGGAATGTTAATCTGGATATTCCATTGCTGTAACAAATCACATCCCCATAAATTTCTTGCTATGTTGGCCAATTTTGTCTCTAATTTTCCCCTCTGTCCTTCTGTCCTTCTACATTTGACACATCTTGACTTTATTTTACCCGAGATAAAGTTACAATCCCAAAAGCTGAACATTTACATCCTGAAGAGGCCAATTTAGATGCCAAGATTTTGGTGTCATTATTATATCTGCCCCAGTGTCTACAAGACCCTCAATTACAATGTCACTTATTTATATTTTTTAACTTTGGTCTTTGATCATTTATAGAAGTTTGCCAAAATATTTGCTTTATGATTTTTCCTGAAATGTTTGCTTTATCTTCTAAAGCTGTTATTTAATCCAGAGCAGCATGATTTTTTTTTTACAACAGGCATTATTTCCTTAAAAGGCTCTGGGGAAGACTTTCCACAAGGTGATAGGGAATGATAGGGAATGACTAAACCAAATTTGACATGGGGGCCTTCAAGAGCCCTGCCACAAGATGTTTCCCAATGGCAAAGGGTTACTTTGTCTGTGCCTTGTTGATTTGCTTTCGTTGTTCCTGGTTCTGCCTTTGCTCCATCTTCTCCATAGTCCAGAAGTCAGAGGCTTTCTGTTTGGATTATTCCTAGAAAAATCATTGTTTCTAGGAATGCCCTGTCTACAATCCCCTTTTAGATAACTTCGTTTAGCACAATTAAAACATCTGACATTTTGATTATTCTTCAAGCCTCTAGAAATCACCTCTCCTATCCAAACATCAACATGGTTATAAGATTCAATATTGATTGTATCTCTAATCCATTCTTCTATGGGTGTTGGTCTTGCCTTTAAAGGCCTAATTACTCTTTTGCATTGTAAATTAGCATTTTCAAACTCAAAGATTCAATTATTATTTATCTAGCTTATGGATTTGGTATCATTCTATGTACAGATGAAGTCAATTCTTGTAAAAAGTTAGTGAACCTTTCTTTTGGGCCCTGTATAACTTTAGTAGTAAATGACACAGTTTTCTTTCCAAGTTCTTCAACTCTGTCCCAAGCATTCAAAGCTGTTTATGGCATAGAGCCAAGATATAGTTGTCATATATAGACTGCCTTTATACAACATCATAATTGCCCTGTCCAAGCAGCTGGTCTTAGAAAATTTCCATACCTCTATCCCTACTTTGTTGTTCAATGGCCTTAGCCTCATCTTCCCACCAGGTCCTCCACTGTATTTGAGGATCAGATTCCAATACTGTTAGAACCAAGTCTTTCCATTTTTGTGGGATAATTCTGTTACTATTTGACCATGAATTTTACATCTGCCTCAGAAAAGGAGAATACATATCATATGAGACTATCTCTTTCTTAAATCTCCTCAAATCTAACATTTGCACAGGAATCCAGTCAGCTCTGACACAGCCTTGGGGATTCCTGTCATTTGACAGTTGTTCCCATTTGGAACATTTGGAATTAAGGTTGAGTTTTTGATAACCTTGGGCTGTTCCTACCTAATTTCATAATGTGATGGTAACATTGGTTCTCCCTTAAATTCCTCTGTCTTTGTCTGAATATCTCTATAATCTGTTTTAATGAATTTTTCTAAGGCTTCTACTTATCACCCAAAATTGCATTAGTTACTTTACTAAGTATTTTTAAGGCTTGCATATTATCATCCAATTTCTGATATTTAGCATTGATATCAACTAACATTTTTAGGGATAAAAGAATAATTACCAAGCTGATAATGCTTATAATTAACATTATGTAAATCACAGCTAAGTTAATGATCCCCTCATTTAATTCTTCCATTTTTAAACCATTCATGGTGGAGTCATACAGAGGCCTAACTCCCTCCATCATAATAGTGTTTCCTATTTTTTAACATCGGAAAAACTCTCTCTTTCTTTAACTAATTCCCCCCTTTAGAAAGTCCCAGGTGTCTCACCTGGAGTGTGAGGCTAAGATTGCAGCAGGTGCAACTCCCACAAACAGCTCTGACAGATGCCCGTGGCTGCAAAGCCGTGGGCAAGCGGCTGTTTCGTGAATTCATGCCCCCAAATTTGAACACCACTTGATGTGTTAATCTAATTAATCTTTATCAATCAAAAACCAGGAGTCAAATATTGGGGCAAGAACCTGAAAGATGAGGGAACAGGGAGCAGCCCCCAGTTGCTTCCTTCCTCTCCCATTCCTTCATCCCAAAGGGTTGAACTCCTTTCTCTGTCTCACCTCACCACTTCCTGACCTCTCTGTCTACAGTCCCCCAAATCTATTGTCAGCAGTGGCTAGCTCCACCTTCTGACTCAAAGCAAGCTTTATTTGTCAGAACACAATCAGAAAAAATCACAAAACAGAGGTCCCTGATGGGGAAGATGAGGAAGCCTGGGCCAGATGTCCAAGGTCAACTGCTTAGAAGTGATGGCACTTGGTGCTGGATCAATCATTTATATCATTCCAATGCCTTTTAAAAACATTAAAAGTTTTTATATAGTTGTGAGTGAGGTATGCCTGTGCAATTCACACCTGTGGATCTCTGAAGGAATCTGTACTCACCTTCAACCATGTGAGTCTTAGGATGGAACTCGAGTTTAGACTTTGCAGCAAGTGCCTTTATTCCCTGAGCCATCTTGCCTGCCCAAAGCCTCTCCTATTAGCTGCTGTGTTATACTGATTCCATACTGACTAAACAATTAAGAGCTGAGTCATTGACTATGAGTCAGATACTGGACTAAACACCTATGCAGGGGAAGATTTATCATTCCCATTTTACAGATGAGGAATCAGAGGTCTGGGAATCAACTCCTGGAGTACTTGCCTAGCATGCACAGAGCCATGGTTTACAACTCCAGAACCCATAAATTGAGTGTGGTAGTGCACACCTGTAATCCCAGCATTTGAGAGGTGGATGCAGGAGGATTGTCATAAATCATGTAATTTTAGAAGTGTTAGATGATACTTGTAGTTTTCCAGGTTTTAGGATCAAATACATGTGTTTATTGATTTTTATGTACAGGAATGAGTTGGCATCCCGTGTCCTCTTCAGGCACTCTCCACCATGACTTTAGAGCCTGGGTCTCTCTCTAAACATGACACTCACCTTTAGTTAGCCTGACTGACAAACAAGCTTTGGCTATACATGCTCCTCACTTTCCAATAGAGTTACAGATGCCCCAACCACACTTTGCTTTTTACATGGTCTCTGGGCATCCTAGGTCAGGCCCTCATGATTGTATGTCAACCACTTTTACCAACTGTGCCTTCTCCACAGCTCACAATATCTAATGTTCTTATTACAAGTTTGTTCCAGAAATTTGGACAACTCAATGTCCTTTTGTGTGTTTGTCTCTTTTTTAAAATTTATTTTATTAGGAATTTTTTTTATTCATTAGTGTTTTGTCTCTTAACCCCAAGTCTTCATCTATGGGAGGTCCACCACTTTCTTTTTGTTGCAAATTGTTGGGAGCAGGGTCATGGGCTCCACTCAACTTTCTTTCTTGTTTCTCTCCAGATAAAAACAACCCTTGTGAAGCCTTCATCTGCAACTGTGACCGCCAGGCTGCCATCTGCTTCTCCAAGCAGATCAATGACATTCACTGTTAGACTTTTCACCTCAGTGACTGCTACACCATCCCTGCCTGCCTGGTTGTGTTCACTATGCACTGTGCCCTCTAATAAATCACATATTGAAAGAGCTATGCATTGCTGATTGTATTCTCTGTCTACCAAACATAACTAGAACCTCAAAGAATATCATTCTGACTATCCTTGCAAACTGAAGTATAATGGGAAATATACTTCCAGAAAGCATGCACCTTGAAGTGTCATTTATGAGCCCAGCCATGCCTTTTTCCTCATCATTCTGGGAGGCAAGGCAGAGGAAGGCAGATTTCTTGAGGTCAAGGCAAACCTGGTGTCAAAAGCAAGTTACAGGACAGCCAGGACTATTACACAAATCCTGTCTTGGAAACCAAACAAAGAAGAAGGAGGAGGAGGAGGAGGAGGAAGAGGAGGAGGAGGAGGAGGAGGAGGAGGAGAAGCAGAAGCAGAATCAGCAGCAGGAGCCAGTCTGAGATACATAGCAGTGTGGGAGGACTGCTGTGGAATATTGTCTTAAGACATGTTACATTTGATTATGCTGTGGAACATTTGTTTAAATGATGTAAAAATTTATTGCATTCTTTTATGTTGCATTTGTTTAACTCTATCAAGCTGTGTTACTTTAACTGTATAAATCACCTGATTGGTCTAATAAAGTGCTGAATGGCCAATAGTGAGGCAGGGAAAGGATAGGTGGGGCTGGCAGGCTGAGAGAATTAATAGGAGCACATATCTCCAGAGATGAAGTAGGAAGAAGAAAAGGAGGAGAGGACCATGAAAAGGGCCAGCACCTAGCTACACAGCAAGCCATGGAATAAGAAATAAGAAAGGTGTACTGAAACAGAGAAAGATACTAAAATAGAGGAAACTCAGAGGCAAAAGACAGAGAGGTTAATATAAGCCAGGAAAAGCTAGCTATAAATAAGCCATGCTAAGGTTGGGCGTTCATGAGAAAGAATAAGCCTCCCTGTGTTTATTGGAGAGCTAGGAAGTGAGTCCCAATAAAGAGCCAAAAGATTGAAAGAGTAAAACAGCTCCAGGGGACAGAAAAGGAGAAGGGGAGGGGAGAGATGAGGCAGGGATAGTGACAGGAAAGAGGGAGGGATGGGAAGGAAAGAAAAGACAGAGGTGACAAGGGAGAGAAGAAGGATGCAGTGTCACGTGGGCACTAAAGGAACATCTTGGCCCTAAATATCCTGGACTCAAAGTGCTTCTGCTGTGTGATCATTCTAGGAATTGGGATATAGGAAAGCAGCCTGGACTGACTGTAAATGACCCGAAGACAGGATTACGTCCTGGTGACCTTCCAGTCTTCACAGTGCCTAAACACACGCCACAGGATAATTGTCCCTGTAAATTGCACAGCAGTCTAACTTTTTGATCAAGCAAAAGAGAACACTTTGTTTCCTCTACCTTTCAATATCACCTGACCCCATAGGTAAAGCCAGGTTAATCTCTGGTTCCCTGGTTCTTTTTGTTTGTTTCCACACAAGGATTCTCTGTTAGCCCTAGGTTTCCTGGAACACTTTCAGGATACCATGCTGACCTCAAACTCAGAGATCCAGCTGCATTAGCCTCCCAAGTACTGAGATTAATGGTGGACACCACCACAACCCACAGAAGTTGCTTTCCATAAATATATGTTTAATAGAATACACAGATTCAGATGTCTCAGGACAATTTCTTCTGGAACATCATGTTTAATTTATCCTCACATGTTTGAGAAAGACTGCAGATGAGAACTGACCTCCTGTGGGTCCATACTCCTCCCTCAGCTGTTTCTTCCTCTCTCCAGGTGCTGCCAGACTCATGACCACTGCTATGACCAGGTCAAGAAGCTGGAAAGCTGCAAATTCCTCATAAGTAACCCCTACACCAGTACCTACTCATTCTTGTGCTCTGGGAATCACTGCAGTGGTAGGGTTACACTTCAGTACATTTGGACTCTGCTTGGTCCTGGATAGGTTTGTAAGGGCACAGAAGTAATGAGGACAGGCATCATTTACTGGTCATTTCCTTGGTCTTGTTTAACCTTATAACAGCCTTATCAGCTAGATACTAAATTAAAGATGAGGTCACTGATGAGGAAGATGAGGAAGGCAGGGTCACTTGCTCCAGGTCACCCAGCTTAGAAGAGATGACATTTGGATCTGGAACACAGATCTACATCATTTCAAAGCCTTTGTTTACAAACATTTCAATATTTTATGTATTTCTGGGGAAAGTATGTCTCTGCCACAACATAGTTGTGGAGGTCTATGGACAACTTGAAGAAGTCAGTTCTCTCCTTCGACCACACGACTCCTGGGGATGGAACTTCGATTCAGATTGGCAGCAAGGGTGTTTATTCCATGAGCCATCTTGCCTGCCCAAAGCCTCTCCTCTTAGCTGCTGTTTTATACTGATTCCATATTGACTAAACAATTGAGAGCTGCATCATTGGCTATAAGTCAGATACTGGAGTAAACACCTATGCAGGGCAAGGTTTATTATTCCCATTTTACAGGTGAGGATTCAGAGGGCTGGGGATATAGTTTAGTTGCTAGAGTGTTTGCCTAGCATGCACAGAGCTCTGGGTTCCACCTCCAGAACCCATGAATCGAGTGTGATGGTACACACCTGAAACCCTGCACTTGGAAGGTGGAGGCAGGAGGATTGTCTTAAATCATATAATTTTAGAAGTGATAGTTGATATTTGTATCTTTCTAGATTTTAGGATTAAATATCTGTGTTTATTTATTTTTATGTGTAGGAATGAGTTTGCACCCCGTGTCTTCTTCAGTCACTGTCCACCATGTCTTTAGAGCCTGGGTCTCTCACTAAACATGACACTCACCTTTAGCCAGCCTGACTGACCAACAAGTTTTGGGCATACATGCTCCCTACTGCCCAATAGAATTACAGATGCTCCAAGCACATCTTGCTTTTACAAGGGCTCTGGGCATCCTAGGTCAGGCCTGCATGTGCTTTTGGCAACCGCTTTACCAACTGTGCTGTGGGAGCCCACAAAAGTTTCCCAGTTAGATCTGGTCTTGCTTTACACAGCAGGGCTGCATTAGAGGATGGCTGGACCACACGCATGGTCACCAGGTGTCTGAGCTGGTCTGCACTTGGCTGTGCTGGGGGGAGGTCTTTTGCTCCACCCCTTGGCATTCTTTTAAAAGCCTTTGGCAGAGACAATCCGGGCCCGATGGATTAGGATCTAGGTCCTCCTGAGTCTATCCGGTGTTTTCTGTCTGTCTCTGTCTAGCTATCTTTCTATCTAATATTTCCTGTTGCTCCTGCTCAAGAGTACCCTGTGGAAAAGTCGGGGTGAGATGGCCCCCACACTGTGCCAGTTCCCCAGCACACAACAAATGATTTTTTTATGTGTTCCAACCATTTGGGCACCCAATGCATTTTTGTGTCTTTGACTCTCAACCCTGAGTCTTCACAAATGTCAGGGCTGCTACTCTCTTTTGGTTACAAATCATAGAGAGCGTGATGATGAGCCACACGCAACTTCCTTTCTTGTTTCTCTGCAGACAAAACAATGCCTGTGAGGACTTCATCTGTAACTGTGACCACCAGGCTGCCATCTGCTTCTACAACACTCCATACACCAAGCATTACAAAAGCATTCACTGTTAGACTTGTCACCTCAGTGACTAGCACACCTTCCCTGCCTGCCTGGTTCTGTTCACTACACACTGTGCCCTCTATAAAGCACCTATATAAAAGAACCTGGCTTTGGAGGTTGTATTTCTGTCTACCAAACATTTCTAGATCCCCAGAGTACATTGTACCATCTAGCCCTGGAAACTGAAGATGAATGGAAAAGACATTGCCATTTGGAGAGCACCTTGAAGAGTAGTTGATGAGCCTGGCCATGCCTTTTATCCCAGCACTCTGTGTTGGAGAGGAAGAGACAGAAGCCGAGGCAGAGGCAGGCAGATCTCTTGAGTTCAAGTCCAACCAGGTTTAAAAGTCGAGATCCACAGAAAGGAGGAAGAGAAGAGGTGGAGGAGAAGGGGACAGAAAGAGAAGGATTGGGACAGCTGAGGCAGGGAAAAGAACAGGAAGAGTAGAATGGGGTAGGAAGGAAAGAGAAGACAGAGATATAGGAGGGGAGAGAAGAGAGAAAGAAGAGGAGTCACGTTGGCACTAAAGGAACAACTTGTCCCCAAAAATACTGGACTCAAAGCACTTCTGCTGTGCACTCATCACTGGAAGTTGGATAAAGGAAACCAAACTGGACTGACTGTAAATGTCCTGAAGGCAGGATTACATCCTGGTGACTTTCCAGTCTTGACTGTGCCTAAGCACACACCACAGGATAGTTGTCCCTCTAAAGTACACAGCAGAACAACAAAACAGAACACATTGTCTTCTCTAACTTTATCACAGGACCCTATAGGTAAAGAGAGGTTAATCTCTGGTTTCCTGGTCAACCAGATTTAGGAAAAAGATTTATCTTTGGTTAAAAGCTATGTGGTTCTCAGTCTCTCTTTTCCTTTAGTGAACAGCTGCCCAGTCCTCTGCCTTCCCACCTCCAACCCCATCCCCACTCCTGCCCAAAAGTCAGGCCTCACCCCTGGCAAGGTCAGTTCTGGTGAGCAATAGGTGCCGCTAGAGCCACCTGGGCAGGCGCAGTGACCTGTAGTAGCTGGTAGTGAGTGTCCAGGGTCTTGCTGGAAGGATCAGAGATCTTGAGCGTGGAGACAAGCAACTCAAATCATCACCTAGTGGTTGTTATCCAGGTAAGAGTTCAGAAGTGGGGAAAAGGAGGTGCTGGGGTGCTGAGTTAGAGGCTACATGACAGATGGCCATTCACAGAAGCCAGAGAGCATTGGGCCAGCAGACACTGTTCACCAGCCACCATATGGGTGCTGAGAATTGAACCCATTCCACAAGCAGAGTAGAAAGTGCTCTTAAGTGCTGACCATCTCTCCAGCCCCTGCAATGGTTGAATGTCAGCTTCACACACTGGGTCGGGAGAGCCTCAGCTGAAGGACTGGCTGCATCACATCGGTCTGTAGGCACATCTGTTGGACATTTGCTTTCTTTTTTTCTTTTTCATTTTTTAGATGTTGGTTTCTTTTTCTTTCTTTTTTTTAATTAATAACAATTTTTTCAATCATTTTACACACCAAAGATCCCCTTCTTCCTTCCACTGCTCCCTCCAGCCTTCCCCCAAACCCACCCAGCACAGGAAGACAAGGCCTCCCATGAGGAGGCACATCCAGTAGAGGCAAGTCCAAGCCCTTCCCCTGCCTCAAGGCTGCACTAGGTTCCCATAAAGGGTATTGGACTCCATAAAGCCTGTTCAAGCAACTGGGTTGGATTCTGATTCTACCACCAGGGGGCGCCCCTAGCACACCAAGCTACACAATTGTCTTAACCATGCAGAAGGCCTAGTTCAGTTCCATGCAGGCTTCACAGTCTTTGATCCAACTTTCATGAGTTCACACAAGTTTGATTTGGCCTTCTCTGCAGGATCTGCATCATGATCCTGATGCACTTGCTCATAGAATCCCTCCTCTCTCTCTCCTATTGGACTCGTGGAGCTCTGCCTGGTGTTTAGCTGTGGATCTCTGCATCTGTTTCCATCAGTCATTGGAGAAAAGTTCTGTGATGACAGTCATGGTATTCACTGATCTGATCATTGGGGCAAGCAAGTTAAGTTCAGGCACCCTCTCCACTATTTCTAGTATTCCAAGCTGGGGTCATCCTTGGGGATTCCTGGCAACTTCCATAGTTTTTTTGAGATAGGGTTTCTGAGTATATCTGTGGATGTCCTGGAACTCACTTTGTAGACCTGGCTGGCCTCAAACTCAGGTATTCGCCTGCCTCTGCTTTTGAATGCTGAAATTAAAGGTGTGCACCACCACCACCTGCTACATTCCTGTTTCTTAAATGGAGTTTGAAGGCTGGTAAGACGCAGGCTATGATGCAAGTCTGTAGACCTGAGTTTGATTTCTTAAAGGTAGAAGAAGAGACCTGACTTCACAGAGTTGTTCTCTGCCCTCCACATGTGAACACAAGGGTTCTCTCTCCCTCCCTCCCTCCCCCTCACTCTCTCTCCCCCCCATTCATCTGTCACTCTAACTCTCTCTAACCGTCCCAGCCACCTCCACAAACAAACACACATTAGTTAATTAGTTAATTAATTAAAGATTTAATTTGTAACTAGATCCACCTCAAAGGCCGTGACAATTCTTGGGACAGACTTTGCACTTAGTTTATACAGTTAACAGGGAGGATTGTAGTGGCCAGCTACTCCTTTTGTGGCTACACGTCACTATCTGCATACGTCTATCCAACCCCAGGAGCAATGTCTATATCTTCTTATGACCTCAAACTGTCCATGGAGGAGGGACTTGGACCTTTGCCAGTTCCTGATGAGCTGGTTGGGGTGTTGTGCTAACCCTACATCTTTGTCCCTGTGACAGCACTGATTCAGGCTCTGTCACCATCTACAGCAGCTCTGCTGGTTGGGACTGTCTGTGAGGGTGCACACATTCTACTTCTGTGCTACACACACAGTAGTCACAGGCCCTGTGTGCTGACTGGACACTGTCAGAGCACAGCTACAGGACTATAAAGAGAAGTCACTGAGTCCTCCCCTCACTCAGGATGAAACTTCTGCTGTTTGCTCTGGTCACAGGTAGGATCCTTGTCCCCTCTGAGTTGCCTACCATCTCCCTTGTCTTCAATATGCAGTCCTTTGCTGGTCATTCATCAAGTTCTGGTTTGTGGTTTCTTTGTGTCCTGGCCAGTGGGATCTTCAACAGAGACCCTAGAAAAAGGCATGGCGAATGAAGGGACAAGAGTCCCTGGCATTGGGCCAGGAGACACTGTTCACCAGCCACCATGTAGTTGCTGAGAACTGAACTTCCATCCTCAAGAAGAGCAGAAAGTGGAGCCATCTCTCCAGCCCCTGCAATGATTGGTTGTCAGCTTCACACATTGGGTCGGGTGTGGGGCGTTTACCCACCAAGCCCACCGTTCCCCAGAGTTTTCTTGAGTGTGAGCAGCAGGAAATATTAGATAGAAGGATTTAGATTGCAGAGATAAACAGATAGAAAATACAGGACAGCCTCGAGAGGGCCTGGAACCTTTTCAACGGGCCCTGTCTCTGCCCCAGGGTATTTATAGAGATGCCAAGGGGTGGAGCAAAAGACTTCCCCCCAGCACAGCCAAGTGCAGACCAACTCAGACACCTGCACTCAGGCCTGTGGTCCTAATCATCCTCTATGCGGACCTGCTGGGTAAAGCCACGAGGAACCTGAAAATGGGCTCCCATAGTCTCGGGAGCCTCAGCTGAAGGATTGCCTGCATCATATTGGCCTGTAGGCAAATCTGTTGGGCATTTTCTTTCTTTTTCATTTTTTAGATTTTACTTTTTGGTTCTTTAAGACAGGGTTTCTTAGTCTATCTATGGCTGTTCTGGAACTCACTTTGTAGACCAGGTTGGCCTCAAAATCAGGTATTCCCTGCCTCTGCCTCCTGAGTGCTGACATTAAAGGTGTGCACCACCACCACCATCTGCTGCATTCCTAGTTCTTAAGTGGAGTTTGAAGGCTGGTAAGATGCTGCATATGATGCAAGCTTGTAGACCTGGATTTGATTCCTTAAAGGTAGAAGGAGAGACCTGACTCCATAGAGTTGTCCCCTGCCCTCCAGATATGATGACATGGTCTCTCTCTCTCTCTCTCTCTCTCTCTCTCTCTCTCATCTGTCTGTCTGTCTGTCTTCCTATCTTGTTCTCTCTCACCCACCAACCCACCCCACTCCCCACAAACCCACACATTGATTAATGAGTTAATTAATTAAAGATTGAATTTGTAACTGGATCTATCTCAAAGGCTGTGTCATGTTCTTGGGACAGACTTTGCACTTAGTTTATACAGTTAACATGGAGGACTGTTGGGTCCAGCTACTCCTCCCATGAACCACACATCACTATCAGCATCCCTCAGACCCGATTCTAGGAGCAATGTCTATATCTTCTTATGACCTGAAAGCATCCATGGGGGAGGGACTTGGACCTTTGCCAGTCACTGCACTTGACTTGGTTGGGATGTTGAGCTAGCCCTTTCTCTGTCTCTGTGACAGCACTGATTCAGGCTCTGTCACCATCTACAGCAGCTCTGCAGGTCAGGACTGTCTGTGAGGGTTCACATATTCTACTTCTGTGCTACACACACAGTAGTTACAGGCCCCGAGTGCTGACTGGACACTGTCAGAACACAGCTACAGAGCTATAAAGAGAGAAGTCACTGAGTCCTCCCCTCACTCAGGATGAAACTCCTTCTGCTGGTTTCTCTGCTCACAGGTAGGACCCTTGTCCCCTCCGAGTGCCCCCATCTCCCTTGTCTTCAATGCCTAGCCTCGCTGGTCATGCCTCAAGTTCTGGTTTGGGGTTCCTGTTGGGGACTAGCAGCCTGTGGGTTGGAATTCCATCCTCACCCCCTATCCACAACAGCTGGCACCTTTACCCTCTACATCTGAACTCAGACAATCCCTTGGGAAAGTCCACTACATTCACCTACCCAAGCAAAGAAAGCCCCTTCTGCCTCTGCCATCAGCCATGGAACCCATTTCTCGGGAACTTAGGTGCCCTGTAAATTGGATTTTCTTGTACTTTAAAAAAATATTTAACTTTATTTTATGTGTTTGAGTGTTTTGCCTGCACATGTGTATCTGTGAACTGTGTGTGAGCAGTGTCTACAGAGGCAAGAGGAGGGGTCTGATCCTCAGAACTATGGTCATAGACAGTTGGGACAACCATGTGGGTGCTGGAACTGAGCCTGGGTCCTATGAAAGTACAGCAAGTGCTACTGAGTGTAGAGCTACCTCTCCAGCCCTGATGATTATTTTATTTCCTTGATCTTATGATGTGGCTCAGGATGCCCTCCAGCTCAACATTATGTCCAGATTGAAAGCTTACTGCCTCACCTTCCAAGTGTTAGGATGGCATACATGCCATACTTGCTTCTGCAACTTATTTTTTCATATATTTCTAAACATGGTTCTCATAGTAACCATGGCAGTCTTGGTAATCACTCTATAGACCAGGCTGGCTTTGATTTCAGTTATCCACCTGCCTCTAGCTCCAGAGTGCTGGGATTAAAGTCCTCTGATACTGTATTCTGATAATCTGAAATTTCTTATCCACCTTCCTCACCTTATCCCACTGCAGACTGAATCCTGGCTTTTTTACCTACTTCTCAGCTGATGAACAGTTTGTTTTATCAAATGCTGGCATTACAATGATGATCTGACCATTATCCTTGTCTATGAGCTGTGCGCTGCCATACAACAGTTTCCTTCTAATTCTTCCAGTGTAAAACCATGAGCATGTGTTGGCTGCTTCTCTGGCTCAAGGTCTCAGCTAGAACTGTGATGAATCCCACTGCTGGCTAAGGCTAGAATTTCACCTAGGCTTGAGCAGGGGTGGGGCAGCTTTCAAACTCAATAGATGGTTGGATTGTTGGGTTATTGAACTAAGAGGTCAGTTGGTCCCTGGCTGCTGACTTGAGTGTGTTCTCAGTTCCTCAACACAAAACCACAGGGCAGGTCACAGTGTGGTGGCTGTCTGTCCTGACGATGAGAAATGAGAAAGAAGAAAGGCAAAAGGCAATGTCTATAGACCTTTGTCCTGGGGACTCAGCCCCGCCGGCTGGTACAGTGGAGTACATTTATAATCCTACCACTGGGGAGGCTGAGACCAGAGGGTTGCTACAGAGTCGGAGGCCAGACTGGGTTACCAGGCAACTCTCTGTCTCAAACTAGTAGACACCTTTCTCTAAGGCCTGGTGACCTGAGTTTGGTCTCCAAGACCTATATAGTGGAGGGAGAAAACCCAAGTCCTTAAAGCTGTGCTCTGACTTCCTCATGTGTAGCATGACATTTATGAGTGCTCCCAAGGGCTTGCTTTCACCTGTGTTGGAGCATGCAAACACACACACACACACACACACACACACACACACACACACACA